CATACATATATATATATATATATATATATATATATATATATCAGTTCTTTCTGTGGTGGCAAAGAATTAGAAATCGAAGGGATGTTCATCAATTGGGGAATGGCTGAACAAGTTGTGGTATGTTAATATAATGGCATACTATTGTGCTATCAGAAATGATGAGCAAGCAGACTTCAAAAAGGAAAGACTTGTACAGACTGATGCTGAGCGAAGTGAGCAGAAGCAAGAGAACATTGTACACAGTAATAGCCATGTTGCGTAATGATTAACTTTTACAGACTTAGTTCTTCTCAGCAATGCAAGGATCTAAGACATCTCCAAAAGTCTCATGATGGAAAATGCTATCCACATCCAAAGAAAGAGCTATGGAGTTTGAATGCAGATTGAACTATACTATTTGCTCTTTTTTTTCTTCTGTTTTGTTTTGTTTCTTCTTTCTTGTGATTCCTCCTATTGGTTACAATTCTTCTTTACAACATGAGTAATGTGAAAATATGTTCAATAGATATGTATATGTAAAGCCTATGTCAGACTGCATGCCATTTTGGGGAGGGAGGTGGGGAGGGAGGGAGAGAAAATTTAAAACTCAAAATCTTATGGATGTGAATGTTGAAAAGTAAAAATATATTTTTTTAAAACAAAGACTATTTCAATTTTGTCTTTCTCTCCCTAGAATAGGGTTTTGCACATAGTAGGTGGATAATAAATGTTTGTTGTCCTTCAAACAGTCTAGGTCTTAGTCCAACTTCACTGGGATACGGGAGCTTTATGGTAAGATAATGAACCTTGTGTTAGTGGCTCTCCCACAACTATGGCAGGATGAAAGAGGAGAAAACATATTTTAACCTACAAGACAGTCTTTGCCTGGAGAGGGTTGGGGCTGAGGAGTGTTTACAATGGTGGATTCTATGGTACATGTGTATAATGCTTCTTTATTTTTGCTAATCCAATAACTGCTTAACAATGTACTTGAGGTCAAAATGAATATTAACAGCCTGGATCCCTGGATCCACAAGTTTGAGATGCAAAGGATGGAGACATGTTTCAGTGCTTGATAAACGAGAATTGACTGGTAATTCCTGCTCAGAGCCCAGGGGGTAAGAGCAGGGCAGAGTGCTGTGCAATTGATAGCCTGCTCATGGTATGTGTCCTTTTTGTCAACTTGGGCAGCTAGGTGGAATTGTGGATAGAGTGTTGGGCCTGGAGTCAGGAAGACCTGAGTTCAAATCCAGCTTTAGATACCTCCTAGCTGTGTGAACTGGACAAGTCATTTAATCTCTTTCTGCCTCACCCAACCAACATATGAGGGTGTTTTGGGGTAATGTCTATATGGCTCTTAGACCTTTTTCTGTGCTCTGTCCCTTTTTCTACATGGTCATGCTCATCCTATTAGCCTATGAACTTGTAGTATATGGTTATATCTTACTAGACCCATACATTGGAAAACATAGACCTCTTCCCTTCCCTGCTCTGTTTCAATAGGGTGATTACCACAAAAAAGCATAGGTAAATGCATTTTTGTATTTATAATCACTGGAGAAAGGGGATGAAAACAAATATATTTAATAACCAATGCACAGTTCCTGCAGCCTTTGGATTATACCCCTTTGGAATCATAGACAATCTACAACCCAAGTTCAAGGAACACAACTAAGTTTTGAGGTTTAAAAAGTTTTTTAAAAGTTAAAAAAATGGGTACAAAGAACACGGTGAGGGCTCTCAGATTTAGGCCTCTCAACCCTTGTGCATCAAGGGCTCAACACTCAAAGAATCCGAACTAGAGGTCTCCATGGGGTCTGCTCCAAGTCACGTCCCCTCTGCTCTTCAGCACTTACCACCCTAATACTGACCGGGTCTGTGCCCATGGGTGTTCTTTGATCTCCATCACATATCAGGTGAGACCTTCTCCAGGAAGCTTGATCCCACCCCATCCCCAACTCCAGTTGTTACTATCCTTCTCCCAGAAATAACTTGGTATACGTTTATATATTTATATGTGTGTGTGTATGTGTATATGTATATATATGTTTATTATATCTATGTATGTATACAATGATATTTATTTATTTATTTATTTTTCTGTGTTCTCTCCAGAGGAATGTTCATTCGATCAAGGTGGGGACTTTACCATTAATTGTTCTTGTTTTCCCAGTACCCAGTACAATGTGTGGTACATTCTAGGTAGTTACTGATTAAGTACAAGGGATAGATGCTCCATAAATTATGATCAGCCCAGATCTCTCAGTCTCATATTATCTACTAGAATCAGAAATACCTCTACCACAACCTCAGTACCCCCATTTTCTTTTCTCTATCCCTTTTCCTCTTTGAAAAACTCATCTCTGTCCTTCCTATGGCATTTCTCCCAGGTCAATCCACCTCTGCTCTTTGACTCTTTCTGTATTGTTTTGCCTCTGAAGCTATTGGCTCATGAGCTGGGCTCCCTCCCTTATTCTACCCTGCCCACAATAGGGAAGAATGAAGAATGTGTAATACTGGCAAAGCCCAGTGCCTTAACAGTTATACAACTATAAGGTCATACTCTCGTCAAGAACAGTAGGCACAGAGGAGCACTGAGGGAAGCCTTCCCTCCTACCTTTATCCCAAGATATGTCTCCAAGCTCACTGAAGTCATATTTGGGGCTTCTCATTACATGTCAAAACTTCTCAGTGTCTGTATTTACAGGCTCCTTTCCTCAGAGAGGCATCATGGCATAATAGAGAGAGGGTTGGCCTTGCAGTCAGGAAGACCTGAGTTCAAATCCTACCTCTGACTCATGATGTCTATGTCACCCTGGGCAAGTTATCTGACTTCTTAGGGCCCTGAAACAACTCTATGTTGAGGTCCAAGAGATTTCGACCCCTCAGGGACCAGAGTATAGGATGGGGTCATCTGGAATGAATTCACAAACTCAAGCAATCTTTAAGTCAAGTTGGCAAAAGTTTATTGTTAATGCTTTTCAGTGGGCAAGGATTCTTAAGGAACTGGCAACCTAACAAGAATGATGCTAAAGCTTATTTGTGAAAAGTAGTAGATTATGCTAATTAGGTGATAATATACAACTACTTCATTCACTACTGGAAACCGGGGAGGGTGTTCCTGAGGGGTGTATTTTTGGTCTGTTGTGTCTGTGACAAGATAGCTTCAGGAGTTGGTATCTGTAACTTGACCCCTGGATTGTACACAATAAACTGTGGGAGTCAGTACATGACAGTTCTGTTGATACAAGATAGTACAAGGGAAATTCTACAGAGGTCAGCTTGTTCTTGTAATAGGCAGAGATAGTATGCCTTACTGGGCCCACTTATGAGTCACTGCCAGAGATAGGGTCTTTGGGATGTAAGGAAACTACCAAGGATAGTGTTTCTGGGGCCAAGGAGAAATTGGAGTCCAAGAACAAACATCCAAGCACCCCATCATCTTTGAGACTATGAGTTGGTGAGAAGGTCCCAACCTACATGAGTAGAGGGAGTTTAAATCTAAAAGTTCTTGATACCAAAGAAATCACACTTCCCGTCTCTATCCCTAGTTCCTCAGCAAAAGTTTGCACTACAGACAGAATCAATTAGGATAGCAAAAATAACTCAGATTTCTATAGTGCTTTAAGCTTTACAAAGCACTTTACATACACTAACTGACTTAATATTCACAAGGACCCTTTGAGATAGGTGCCCATTTTACAGATGATGAAAAATGAGGCTGAAAGGCTAAATGAATTATTGGTATAAGGCAGGATGATAATCTAGGTTTTTCTGATTCCACATCCAGCTACTCTGTGAGGCTAAAGAAGTCACTGCTTAGGTGAAAGGGCACAGAAAAGGAAGGCTATAGATGCCCCCATAAAAATACACCTATTTTACATTTTCCCCAACCTCAACCTCCCCAAACTTACTGAAGACAGATTTTGGACTTCTTATTACCCACTAATTCTTCTCAGTTCCTTCATTTATAGTCACCTTTCCTGAGAGAGGCAAGGCAGATGCAGAGCTGGCCTTGTAATCAGAAAGACCTGAGTTCAGATCCCACCTCTGACACATTGCACAACAGTACTGCCACATACTGGCACTGATATCATGGAAACAGACCTAAACTAGAGGGTATGAGTGAGCTCAGAGTTGGCTGGCTGGTTACAAAACTGCCAGATACCCATAGTGTATTTTTTAACTTTTCCAAACACATTCAGAGCATCTCATTGGAACTTTCTACCATTCCTATAAGGTTAGCAGATCTAGTTACCAGTCTTCATTGGACCAATGAGAAAAGCAAAGCTGAAAAAGGTTGAGCTTGCTAGGATCAGAGATCTACAACTGAAAGATTGCTAAGAGATCACCTAGTCCAACCCTATCACTTTACAGATGAGGAAACTGAGGACCACTGTGAGGAAATGACTAGCCTATATTCATGCAGCAATAAATGTCAGAGGCAGGATTTGAACCCAAGTTCTGTGTCTTTAGAAGATGTGTTGTTTCCCCTCTGCCCCACTCTACCATACTTGCTGAAAGTCATAGAGCCTAGGGATGACCAAATCTCTCCCTCCCAAATGGATTCCCCCAACTCTTGCTATCACCCATCAAATTTCTGAGGCCCAGTTTCTAGGAGAGTTTGGGTTATGGACTGGACTTTTGATTTCACTGGAACAGGGAACTCCATAAATCACTTTCTGTCTACATAGATCAGCAACTATTCTGCCATGTTTAGTCTTAGAGCGCTTTACTGTTTGCCCAAGGTCACATCATCAGTACTCATCAGAGGTAGACTTGTGAGAGATTCAGGTGAGTTAAAATTTGGTGGTTTGGAAATCCTTCCCTTTCTTTATTTTTTTGTTTTTTTGGCTGAGGGAAATTGGGGTTAGGTGACTTGCCCAGGGTCACACAGCTAAGTAAGTGTCAAATGCATGAGACCAGATTTAAACTCAGGTCCTTTTGACTCCAAGGCTAGAGCTCTATCCACTGCACCACCTAGCTGCCCCTTCTTTTCTTTATTCTTTATGATCTTTGGTGCTAAAGTTTTAGGTCTGAGAAACAGCCACAAAACTTCAGCCCCTGGGACAAGTCTGGTCTGGAAAGCATCCTCCTCAAAGCAATTCCAAAAGACATATATTCCTAAATGCCACCTGGCCAAGGCCCCCATGTCTGCTGTCAGCCATCACTCCATCACTAGGAACTGCTCTGCTGAGTGTCTGCTCCCTTGGGAAATGTGAGGGAAAATGGCTGGATGGGGAGTTCAGGAGTTGAGACACTAAAAGCCTCAGTCACCTAGGACCTCTATATCAATACTGCAACAGTTGACATATGTTTATTTAACTCAGTGGTATTAAATCTAAACCCCTAGAAGGCAGAAACATATCTTATTATATTTCCTATCTCCCAACACAGGAACAAGATTAATATCCATGAAAGTGGTTTGGAATACGTGATGCACTGTGCAAGCAGAGCAGGCTTTTGTTGAACTGAGGCTATGTGTCCCAAAATTACCAGTAATACAAGATGAAGTCTGTATTATAATACTTCGTATGCTAGGTCAGGAAGACAGGTTTACTGCCAAATACATTAGTAGTAATAACCACTCAGGATAGGCTGCTGACTCAATACTAAAAAGGTCATCGAAGTCAATGCGGATGTATGTAAAATACAAAAGATGTATCTGCTTTCGGGGCACGATATAATTCCATTATGTCCTTCTCCTGAAAAGCAAGAAGAAAAAGCTCATCAGATGAGGTTACAGAATTTTGGAATATAAGAATGGAAAGAATCTCAATGGTCATCCAGTTCAACCCATACACAAAAGATGTCCCCACTATAATATATATCTCGGTGGTTATCCAGCCTCTACTTGAAAACCTCCAAGGACTGGCAATCTGTCTCTTCTTGAGGTGATCCATCCCACTCTGAGACAACTCTAATTGTTGGGATGGATTTGCTGATATTAAACCCAAATATGCCTTTTTGCAACTTCTACTGCTTCATCCCAGTTCTGCCCACTAAGGCCAAATGGAATGTCAAGTCCCTCTTTCAAGAGATAGCTCTTCAACTACCGAAGACATATGATGTCCCCCTCCAACACCCCCAAGTCTTTTCTCCAGGCTGAGCATGCCAAGGTCCATCAACCAATCCTCAAATGAGAAGGAATCAAGACCCTCTACCATCTTGGTTTCCCTCCTCTGGCAACTCTCCATTTTATCAATGACATTTTTAAGCTGTGTTGCTCAAAATTGAATACAATAGTCCAGATGAAAGGGGACAAGAGCAGAGTACAACTGGACTGTCATCCAGTTCTTCCTGGAAAGCATCCCTTTTAAATGCAGCCAAAGGTTGCGTTAGGTTTTTTTTGTTTGTTTGTTTGTTTGTTTTGCTGCTTCTTCTCCTGAGAATTTTAATCAAATTAATCCTACCATAGGCATCTGAATTCTGTTAAACTTGGATCAGGAAGACCTAAATTCACATCCTGCCTCAGATAATTGATAGCTAAGGGACACTAGGAAAGTCACTTAACCTCTGGTTGCCTTGGTTTCCACATCTGTATAATGGGGATGATAAAAGCACCTTCTTCACAGGGCTGTCCTCAGAATCAAATGAGATCACATTCATAAAGTGCTTTGCAAACCTTAAAGTGGTATATAAATGCTAGCTATTATTAGCCATCACCATTGCCTCTCAAAGGGAATGTCAGTTAACTGCCCTATTGTTGAACTCATACCTGGGACTTCCTAGACCATAACTCCCTTTGCTGGCCATCACTCCCTTAAGTGTGGCATCTTCCCCATTAGAAGGTAAGCTCCTTAAAGGCAGGGACTTTTCTATTTGCATTCTCAGTGCTTAGAACAGTGTTAGCTCATAGCAAATGTTCAATGTTTTTCATTCATTCAGTTCTTGAGCACCACATTTCAGTAAGAACTTTAAAAGAGCAGAGTATCCAGAGAAGGGGGATCAGGATGATGAAAGATGTTAAGATCATGCCACATAAGAATGAAATGAAGTAAGTGGTGGTGTTTAGCTTGAAGGAGAACAGCTCTGCGGAGAACATGATATCTTTTTTCAAGAGTTAGATGGTCTTTCACATAGACGAAGGATTTAAATATTCTCTGCTTGGTCCCACAGAGCAGAACTAGGAAGAAAGTGCAAATATAGCAGCAAAGATTCAGGATTAATATAAGGCAAAACAACCCAATGATTAACGCTCTCCAAAGTGGAATCAGCTACTTTGAAAGGCAGTGAAAGGAAGGAAGGAAGGAAGGAAGGAAGGAAGGAAGGAAGGAAGGAAGGAAGGAAGGAAGAAAAGAAAATGCATTTATTAAAGGTTTATCATATATTAGACACTGCAAAGCATTGGGGTTACAAATATCAGCAAGGCAGTCCCTGCCCTCAAGGAGCTTACATTTAAATTGTGGAAGACAACACATGTAACAAAGCTAGAAAGTATATGGAGGGTAAGTGTAGTTTGGAAATGGCCAAGACATGCATGATGGCCTGGTTTTGAACAAGATGAGGCAAAAGCACATTTATCACAACCCAAGAGCTTTCACTAGAACCTAAATGATCCCTACTTGGTCATACTGTCTAGAAGATTATAATTCAGCTATTGTTGGTGACCTTGGAAATTCCTTCCCATTCTAAAATTCTGAGATGCTATAACACTCACCTGCAGCTTCAGTATGGGTTGCCCCCCACTATCTTCACAGCACAGGCACAGTTTAGTCTCTGCTATTCCCAGGTAAATAGGATTGCCTTTGTCTTTTTCAAGAGACTCATCTCAGCGTGGTGTGGCCATCAAGGCGACTGAGGATACAAGAACCAGTGACCACACAGGGTGAAAAAAATGTGAGGATCAAGCATCCATTTCGACAAAGAGAGTGATGGAGGAGGGCACCATCCATCTAAAGAAAAGAGTAATGGAATGCCACAGTTGGACTTGAGCTTCAGGGATATTGAGCTGGAAGTGCCTAGAGAAGGGAAGAGAAGTGCCTAGGTCTATGGGAATCTCCCATTCATTCCTGGATGGACAGTCATCTGCTCAATGGTCTAGTCCCCATATTGATTCAATTTGTCCTTTGGACTTTGGAATCCCTGATAGGAATTTGAATTTGAACACAATCCTCCCAGGAAGCATCCCAGGGGGAGGGACTTCTGACCTCAAAAAAGAGCAATCTCCCACACTGTTGCTTCAGCCATGCCTGCAATTTGCCTCCTCTGATTTCCCTTCAGGTAACGCCCTAACCAGGCAGGCTTGGCAGTCTCCTAAAAGATAGTCTTATGTTACTGGTATGGTACACATGATGGAGATATGACTTCTGATTAGCTGAAAAATTCTGATAGAGAAGCAGAAATATAGAGAGACAGGTGGAATGAGAGAGAAGGGATGGATTTTGGCAAACAGGAGATGCCCAGGAGGAGCTAGCACCCCAACATGTACATTCATTGATTCCCAGAACCTGCACTCCCAAAGGCTACAAAGAGTACACCTCTGGGGGGACATTGTTCCTTCCTTGGTGGAGCTGAGATTTCACCTCTCTTCCAAATCCTGGACACACCTGACTCATGTGTATTCTTCTGCCCAAACTAATTGGTTTAACTTCCCTAATTACTGTTTTGCTGTTTGCTTTGGTAGTTATATTTGTTCATTACACATGATCATTTTTGATGTAATTAGCATTTTGTGGAATGGGATAGAAACTGGCTTAAAAGAGGCTAACTGTTACCCTCTTGTTCTAGGGTAAGCCTACTTACCCCCAGAGTGACTAGTAAAAGTGGCTCTTACCCTAAACACCAAGAAAGCATTGTACTTCTAGAGGGCAAATATCTGATGTGCAATAGATAGATACAATTCTGGCTCACTTCACTTCCCTCCCCTTCCCTCTTGAAGATTGGAGAGCAAAGGAATAATCACCCAATCACAGCCATTCCCCAACTTGCCACAAAGGCAGAAGTGGCATTATTCCTAGGAAATGTGGAGTAGGGCATTCCATATCCCAGATCCATCTACAGGTCCACTCTCCATACTCCCCGAGGCCTCGGGGTCCAGTTAACTTGCTACCATAAACTTATAGACTTTGACCTAAACAAGTCCTGATGGGTCATCAAATTCAACCCCCTCATTTTACAGATGAAGAAAATGAGGTTCATAGAGCCTCACCTGTGCCCAATGACTGCCCAAGGTAACAAAACTATTAAGTGTCTGACAGAAGAGTGTAACACAGGTCTGCCTAATGCCAAGTTCATTGCTCTCTCCACTGTGCCACCCTAGTTTGCCTGTAAAGGAATGGAGGAAGCTCCCCACCTCTTTCCTGGATATGATCAACCTAGGTCAAATCCTTTTGCTCCATCCTGGTGTTCCATTCTGTTCCTCTCCCCTCATTACCACCTCCTCCCAGACTCATTATTCCCATAATTTCTTGGCATTAGAATCCTCCCAGGTTGGATTGCAAAAAATCTGTCAACCTCAATTTCCCCTGTCTCCTCCATCCTCCCTCGGCATTATTCTACTGCTCTTTTGTCTCTGTCTTCATGAAACAGCCCAGTTTAATTCTAAAAAAGATCAGGCTGCCTCTTCCCTTACCATCTTTCACTGCCTGGTATAGAACTGTTCCTTCTCCCACCATTTATGGCTAATAACTGCCCAACTTGTCCCTGGAACTTTTGAGCTACAGGCATCTGTCCCAAAGGACACTATAAACAGAGGGTCACCCAAAGCATGAGACTGCCTCAGAGAAAGATAAAATAGAGTCAAGTTTCCTACTCACTTCTTGTGCCCGGTCTCGCAAAGGGAACTGCCACAAGGATCTTCCTTTGAAGGACCAAGATTTGGCTAGAAGAGTCACGAATTCCCATGATGTAAGGAAGATCTTTGTCTTCTAAATGAAAATGTTTACAAAGCAAATGTCACTGGCTGGTGAAGACTGAAGCTGATATAATGGGTTGGTTTCTAGAAAATTGCCAATTCTCTGTCAGCACGTGGAGAAGGATGGGCTGATGTTGATGGAATAAGCCCCCAACAGAGACCACACATGGCCACTTGCTCTCTCTATATAAATCCGTACTGTGATGACCAAAGAGCTGTGATTGTGAAGGAGGGAAATGCAGAATTTCAGAAGTGGAAGGGAACTTAGAGTCCATCTAACCAACCCACTCCCAAACACTGAGCACGTCTAGCAAATATCTACTCTTTTTTTTTTAAGAGAACCTTTAATGCAAAGGATGCTATCACATCGGGAGATAGCCCAATTTCACTTTGGGACAGCTCTAACATTTGGAAGTTTTTTTCCTGATATTGAATCTAAATTAACTTCTTTGTCAATTGTACGCTTTATTCTTCTTTTTGTCTTTCTGGCAAACAACACAGGTCTAATCTTTCTCCCCAGGGTTGACTTCATATACTTAAAGACAGTGATCATTTCCCCACTGAATCTTCTTTTCTCCAAGCTGAACCTCCCAGTCTCTGTAAACCATCCTCATGTGGAATGCACTTGAGGCCTGTCCCTCAGCAAGCTGCCCCTATCTGGCTGCTTCCAGCTTCTCAGCATCCTCCTCATGCCTCAAAAGGAACACAGCCTTCCAGGTGTGAGAACAGAGTCATAATCACCTCCTTATTCCTGGAAGCTGTGATGGATTCTCTCAAAGCATCCCCATATCACATCAAGGGTGTGTGCATATACATGTTTGCCTGTCTTAATCTCACGGCTGTCAATATCAAGACACTGAATTGGCCTCCCTTCTCTGAGTACTCACCAGTTTATTAAAGTCCTTACTGAATGAAAACCCCAGGTCTTTTTCAGGCAAACTGCTGTCTATCCATATCACATAGTTCTGGTTATGACCATTTTTTAAACCTAATGTAGGACTTGACATTTATCCCTATTATTTTGATTATTATTAGCATGAAACCAATGTTCTAGCCTGCCAGGATCTATTTGAAACCTGATTTTATACTTCTGGGTATTGACTATCCCCCTTGGCTCTGTTATCACCTGCAAGCTTGAGGAGCATCCCATTTGTTACTGAAAAAATTGTTTAACAGCCCAGGGTCAAGAACAAATCTCTGGGCTACTCCACTAGAGAGTTCCTTCCAAGTACACTTTAAAAAAATTGGATTTGTTCTTGCTCAGGTCATGTCTGATGACTCCATTTGGGGTTTTCTTGGCAAAGATACTGGAGTGGTTTGCCATTTCCTTCTCCAGCTCATTTTACAAATGGGGAAACTGAGGCAAATAGGGTTAAGTCACTTGCTTAGGGTCACACATCTAGTACATGTCTGACATTGCATTTGAACTCAGGTCTTCCTGACTCCAGGACTGAGCTATCCACCTAATCATTAATAAATCATCTTTTGAGTCCAGCCATCCAAACAATTCTCAATCCATCTGGATTCTAATTGTCCTATAATAAAGGCAGAATCTATCTTTCCCTACAAGAATAGCATGAGAGCTTTTAATGCTTTGCCAAATTCATCTGAATTCTAATTGTGGCATCACCCTGATCCTCCAGTCCAGTTACTGCATCAAACAAGGAAACAAATTTAGAATCACTTGACTTGTTTTTGTTAAAGCTATGCTGACAATTTGTGATCGCCTCTTCTTTCTCTAGCTATTCAACCAGCATTGCTTGAATGGTTCTCTCCTCAATTTTGTAGAAATCCAAGACAAGTTCATTGGCCTATAGTTGGCAGAAAAGATCCTATTCTTTACCCTTTTGATGGAAATTAGGATGCTCGCCTTTCTCTGGGCCCACAGCACCATGACCATTCTCTAGGATCTTTTAGGTTTCACTGCCAGCACCTTCCCCACATCTGCCAAGAGGTAGCTCACTTGGCCACGTAACTTGAATTCAAGAGTAGCTCTCTTAATATCTTTTTCCTTACCTTGGCTACCCACTCCCAAATAACCATTAATGTAGAAATGGGCAATTGGACCTAGAATGTCTCCATTCCTGGAGGACTTAGTGTCAGCAGGGAACTGCGTGAGCCTAGGACAGGCTTCCCCCTACCCCATCCTGGGATCCCAGACAAGCAGGCTTGGGGGAGGGAAGGTGACATAGCCACATTTCACCTTTTGGTTCTACTGGTTTTGTTCCACCTGAAAAATAGTGAAAGCAGAAACACAAAAATCTAGGCACTGTGTTATTTCCAAGTTGAACAGGACATGATATCCTTCAATCAATCAATCAACAAGCTATATATGATAGGTCCCGTGCCTGTCCTCAAACAGCTTGAACTCTAACAGAGCAAATCACATGTACACATATAGACAGTTCTCTTTATGTGAGTGGATTGGTTGACAGTAATGTGAATTTGCCTGGGACTTGGGGAAGGGAGGGATGGAGGCAGAAAGAGGACTGCAAATGGGGCTCCCTCCCATGGAAGGAATTGGCTAGCACATAGCTCGAGGACAAGGACAGAGAAGCAAGAACAAGGAGGGAGCAGGGCCAGAACCTACAGGAAGAACAGGGAGTGGGGGTTGGGAGAAATGTGGGGGTCAGATGGACACAGACAGGAGAGGACAGACATGCTGTTCTGGAGGGAAGACAAACAGGAGGGCAGATGGGCAAGACAGGCCAAGGTCTTCTCTCTCAGCACAGGAGGTCTCAAGCCAACTCCTCCATCCCACCACAGCACTGGAGTGGGGGAAGAGGGGGGGTCTCTCATACCTCTGTACTTCTGCTTTCTCTTGGAGGGTTTCATTTTTAGGGGGCTTTTTGTTTTTGGTGGAGGAGGGAGAGAGAGGCCACAGAGCACCCACAGCAACAGGCAGGAGTTGGGAGAGAGAGAGACAGCAGAGTACTGTAGGGTAAAGTTAACAAAGGGACTTTTTATGGAATGTGGATTTCTTTCAGAATTCTTTAAGAAAAGTCAAATTATGTAAAGTGCTAACTGTATAGGAAGATATAGTATATACACAAACTTAATCTAGGGTAGTTTGGGGAGGGAGAGATACCAGCAGCCAGGGGCAATGAGAAAACCTCTGCCACAGGCACAGGTGAAAATGAAAGGTAATGGGACACACAAGTGTCTTCCATACAATGCGTAGAATTTAGGGGGCTCTCATGTGTTCCCATATACATGACTTCTGGATCCTCTAAAACTGATCTGGGCAAACTTCTCACCCCACAGTGACCTGTAGCCTTCTCCTCTCCAGGGTGGACACAGATCATGGATACAAAGCTGGAAAAGATCATAGTGACCATCAAGTCCAACCCATCTGGCAAAATCCAGCCTCAGACACTTACCAGCTGTGTGACCCTGGGCAAGTCACTTCACCTCTATTTGTCTTAGTTTCCTCAATTATAAAATAAGGATAATAATAACATCCACCTCCCAGAGTTGTTGTGAGGATCAAATAAGAAAATAGTTGTAAAGCACTTAACACAGTGCCTGACACATATAGTAGGTGTTATATAAATGTGAGTTGTTATATAACATTATTATTAAGTATTATTATTATTATATGAGGAAACTGAGGCCCAGGGATATTAAATGATTTATCCAAGAGCACACAGGCCATAAGCATCACAGGGAGAATATGAATCCAATCCCTCTAACTTCAGAACCAGTGAGGGCTCTTGCCATTGCCCCACAGCTAACTAGACTGAGAGCCAATGTTGTCCACCATATTGTTGCTTACCTACGCCGTGTGGATTGGGGTCGATTGTACTCATGATAAGATTCTCTCTGCTCCTGTAAGGATAGATTAAAGGTAATTGATTTGTAGGACTTTCTTCAGGGCTACACCCAGGTATAGCCCCATACTGAACTTTACCTCAGCACCTCTATCCAGAGAGGTGTGGCTGAGGAAAGAAGGAAACAAGCATTTATTAGGAACCTTAATAAATAGAGCTTAATAAATGCTTATTCCCTGTCCTCTCTCCCCCACAGACTATGGGCCAGGCTAAGCACTTTACAAATGTTACTGTACTAAGCTTTTTATAAATATTATCTCATTTGATCCTTATAACAACCCTTGGAGGTAAGTGCTGTTATCATCTCCACTTTTCAGTTGAGGAAACTGAGGCAGATAGAGATTAAGTGACTTCTTCATGGTCAAATAGCTGATAGTGTTTGAGGTCTGATTTGAACTTGGGTCTTCTTGACTCCAGGCACAGCACTCCAAAGTGTCACTTAGCTCTGCTAGGGTGACAAAGCCCCCTGGGCCACGGTTCAACAGGTCATGGCAACTGGACTAAAGAGATTCATAGGTGACTCATTTTTCCTGGCACCACAGGGCACTCCACTCAGCTTCCTCAGCAGGGATCTCCCCATGATTACAGGCATCATCTCCCATATCCCCCAGAGCAACAGGTGGGACAGCAGACCAGCCCTCAAGAATATACTCTCATTCAAAGATCCCACCAATGTTTCAGATTTCCCATCTTAGGCAAATGTGTCCCTAAGAGTTTCCACACTGAACCCAGCTCATCAGCCATCAGTGTCCACACCCAGTGAGCAGGGAAGGGATCTGCTACCCTATGGACCATAATGGACCTTATGGCAAAAACAAAAACATCCTGACAATAGAAATACTTAGGCTCAGACCCAAACCCACTCTTGGAACCCAAGGGATGGGAGTGACAGAAAGATCCAGAGACAGATGGTTTTTCAGCTGCAGGAAGGGTCAAAGGGTACCTGGTCTAACCACTCTCTCCAATTTTCCTGAGCTTTTGGTCTGTGATGGTTTCTTTAAACTCCAATGAGATTATTTGGGGCTGCTTATCCTTTTATCCAGTTGAAGAACTATAAAAAAAAATTTATAGGAAGTTTCTCTGATAAAGGCCTCATTTCTCAAATATTTAAAGAACTAGGTCAAATTTACAAGAACATGAGTAATTTCCCAACTGATAAATGGTCAAGGGTATGAAATAGAAGTTTTCAGATGAAGAAATCAAAGCGATCAAGAGTCATATTAAAAAATGTTCTAAATCACTGTTAATTAGAAAAGTACAAAATAAAATAACTCTGAAGTATCACCTCACACCTATCAGTTTGGCTAATATGGCAGAAAAAGAAAATTATAAATGTTGAAAGGGTGTGGAAAAATTGGGACACTGATCTTGGTAGAGTTGTGAATGGATCCAACCATTTTGGAGAGCAACTTGGAACTATGCCCATATGTATACCCTTTGATCCAGAAATACCACTAGTAGGTCTGTATCCCAAAGAGAAGAACAGGAAAGGAAAGAAAAGAAAAGAAAAGAAAAGAAAAGAAAAGAAAAGAAAAGAAAAGAAAAGAAAAGAAAAGAAAAGAAAAGAAAAGAAAAGAAAAGAAAAGAAAGAAAAGAAAAGAAAAGAAAGAAAAGAAAAGAAAAGAAGGAAAGAAAGGAAAAGAAAGGAAAAGAAAGGAAAAGAAAAGAAGAGAAAAGAAGAGAAAAGAAGAGAAGAGAAGAGAGAAGAGAAGAGAAGAGAAGAGAAGAGAATAAAAAAGAGAAGAAAAGAAAAGAAAAGAAAAGAAAAGAAAGAAAAGAAAAGAAAAGAAAGAAAAAAGAAAGAAAAGAAAAGAAAAGAAAAGAAAAGAAAAGAAAAGAAAAGAAAAGAAAAGAAAGGAGTGCTATATGTAGAAAAAAATATATAGCAGCTCTTTTTGTGGTGGCAAGGAACTAGAAACTGCTGAACAAGTCATCATGTATGATTGTGATGGAAGACTATGTGCTCTAAGAAATGACAAGTAGGATGATTTCAGAAAACCTGTAAAAACTTACACAAATTGATGCAGAGTAAAGTAAGCAGAGCCAGAAGAACGTGGCACACAGTAACAGCACTTCATACAATGATCCACTCTGAATGACTTAGCTCTTCTTAATAAAGCAATAATCCAAAGCAATTTGAAAGGACTCATGATAAAAAATGTTATCCACCTCCAGATAAAGAATGGATGGAGTCTGAATGCAGATTGAAGTCTAATTTTTAACCTTATTTTTCTTGGTTTATTTTTTTGGTCTATGTCCTCTTTTGCAACATGGATAAAAATGGAAATATGTTTTGTATAACCTCTATCAAAGTGCTTGCCTTCTCAAAGAGGAGAGAGGGAAGGGAGGAAGGAAACTTGGAACTCAAAAAGAGTAAAAAATGAATGTTAAAGATTGTTTTCTGCAAAAACAAAAAACATAAAATAAAGGCTCTTAGGAAGCAAAAATGAAAGAATGAATGAAATGAATGCTATGTGTCATACTATTCACATGGAGACTGAGAACAGGGATAGGTGAAGTTTGGGGAGTTTTTGGGGAGGGAGAGAATCTTATATAATCTTATGTAAAATCTTATATAAAATGTCAAGAAGGGAGAGGAGCTCTTCAGACCTGATAAGCTGTTGAATCTCCTGTGGACTGATGTCATGGTTGCCTCACTACCTCAAGAGCTGCTCTTATACAGCATAACTCAAAAATGTATTAAAGCTTTAAACTACACTATGACTTTTGAGACATCCAGTATATTTTTGCTGAATGTTTCTATGACTTTGTTTAGTGTTTATTTCTATTTAGTAAAAGGGTGCATGTGAAGGGGGGGGAGTTATTTACCTCATTGTTTCAATATATTCAGATCCAGAACTTTCGTTTGGATCCTGTCTATACCTGCTCTAAAAAAAGGCTAGAAATTTAGATTAGGCCAGGATATGAAGGGCTTTAAACACCAACTAGAAAGCCAGGTGTTATAATACATACCTATAATCCCAGCTACCTGGGAGGCTCAGGAGTTCTGAACTACAATGGCCTAGGCCAGTTGGAGTCCATGTTAATTATGGCATGAAAATTGTGAGTCCCTGCATACAGGGGCTGCCTAAGGATGGGTTAAACAGCTGAGGTCTAGGCACATCATTCCATGGCTCAAAAATCTACCAGGCTTCCGTATTACGTGCCTCATGAAATTCAGACTGCTTAGTCGGGCATTGAAGGCTTTCCATGAGTCATCAACCTGCTAGTTCAGTCTGACCTCACCCTATTGCCTCCCCCTCATCCCTATTACTCTCCAGTCAAAATGGACTTCTAGCTGTCTCCTGAACAGGTCCTATGCTTTCTTGCAGTTTTTGTCATGCCATCCCTTTATCTTTAAATGCCATCCCCTCACTATACTTTGTAACCCTGAATTCTGGGGCTCCCTAACCAAAAAGCACTGATCTTCAGATGAGAGATTCAAGTAGACACCAGCCCTTCCAGGGTTCATCAGATAATAATCATTTGAATTTGTCTTTACAGACCTGATTTTTTTAGAGCATCCCAGAAGAAAGACCCAGGAAAGTTCATTCTCCATCTTATCACATCATCAATAAAGGCTGATTACATACTTACTCTGTGCCAAGTACTGTGGCTAACTCTAGGGATACAAAGAAAGGCAAAAATAGCCCTTGTTCTGCAGGAGCTCCAGATCAAATGTATCTTGTGGTGGGCAGAGCGGATCGGTGCTTCTGCTCTCTGAATGCCTTTGCCCTGTCCCCACCTTCTAAGACTTGGTGAGCTATGGACGGAATGATCAGAGCTTTGAGGTTCCAGAGAGACCACTGAGACCTGGGAGGGATGGGGGATGAGACAATTCAAGCTCTGCATTAGGTCATCCCTGTCTCCAAAACAGGAAAGAGCCTCATCCAGGTTCTGTCTCTCCTCTGTTTCCACGAAGGGGAAAAATCCAAGTGGGAGGCCTGGTACTGGACAAGCCACCAGCTTCTTATCGAATGAACTTCACAGTCTGGCTCCAAATCATCTTTCTACAGTGATGTCACTCCTGGGCTACCTCAGACCCATTTGCTGTAGTTAAATGCATATTGTTCCCTTCAAGAGAAGGTAAGCACCTGGAGACAGGGTCCATTTTGCCTTTTGTCTCTGCACCTCCAGCACCAAGCACAGTGCCTGGAACACAGTAGGAGCCTATCAGATGCTGGCAGAACTGAACTGGATGGAGCTGACACCTCTCTGAAAAGTACAACTAACTGCTTGTTTCCTACTCTTGACATTACAGAAAGGAAGACCCAATTTACAATTCTCAAGGGAGTGTCAGAGATGGGAGTTTGGGGCACAGAAGTTCCAGAAAATGGAAGGGCTACCAGTCAGGAAGAAGGGGGAGGTGTAGAGCACAGATATGCTTTCAGAGAAACATTAACACCCTCCCCTCCAAAAAAACGGGGGTATTCTAGACCTTTTTGGTATGTCAGCTAGTTAGCTCATTGAGCTCTGGGCCTGACACAGGACAAATAAGTCAGGAAGACCTGAGTTCAAGTCCAGCCTTGGATGCATACAGGCTGTGAGACCCTGGAGAAGTCATTCAACCTCTGATTTCTTGAGTTTCCCCAACTATAAAATGGAAATAATAGCACCTACCTCCCAAGGTTATTTTGAGGATGAAATGAGATATTTGTAAAGCACCTAGTACAATGCCAGGTATATAGTAGGTGCTTCTTTCCATGCAATGGTAGAAAGGGCTTCCTTTCTCATCGCTCTACCTGTGTCTCTCCATAGTCTGTGGTTCCCAGAGCTAACTCCCTGGACACCCTTAAACAGTGGCATTTCCTCTGTCCTTCAGCTCAATTACTCTCCATTTCTATCTCTCTCTTTTTGGGAACAATTGTTAAGTGACTTTCCCAGGGTCACACAGCTAGTAAGTGAGGCCAGATGTGAACTCAGGAAGAGGAGTCTTCCTAATTGTAAATTCAGTGCTCTAGCCACTGCACCACCTGGCTGCTTGAGTCAGAGGACATA